TATTATGAAAAAATTGGAACAATTAAGGATACAATATGGGTGTTTCATTATTGTTTCCATATTCGCCTAAGGGCCGTTCTTACGACGTCCGGTTAAAGTTAACCGACACTTAACCGGAGGAATTCTGCCGGTAATAAAATCTGTTATCAGTCGGTTAGCGTTAACCGACACTTTACCGGACATTGTAAGAACGGCCCTAAGTGATTATAGATTATAAATTGACAACATACTACATTAATCTACATGTAAAATATCAAGTTTAGAGAAATATTAATCATGAATTCATGAATATGAACATTTTAGATTAAAGACTGCTGTCGTAAGGTTACTTGGTGGTGGGATAATACATATTTGTACATCTCGGAGGGCAATAACAAATTAGTATTAAATATATAGCTCAATTTTGCCAATGCAATTATTTGTCAATCATTACTTTAATTTGGATTTGATTGACTAGTGGTGCATAATGGCAGGAGGAGATTAGATACTTATTTTCTCCACTACTTGCTTCAATAGTTAGAATAATAAGCGATAAATGATTGCATTGGTGTTGCTAATATAAAGCATTAATCTAAGGTAAAAGAAATAATTTTTGTTGTATTATTTAGGCATTTAATGAAGGAAATATGGTTGATAGTGATTTATTTAACCTTGTTTCACAATCAATCATGGGATTAATTACACAAACCAGAACTCAATTATTAGGTCAGTTAAGAGCATTAGAGCTAATTCAGACTCGTGCTGGACCTAACGATATAAGGGATGTAAATATCAACTCGAATAATTGGGCTGCTGTTAAGGCTTGTTTATTAGCTGGATTGTATCCAAATTTGGCTAAACTAGATAAATCTAATCCAAGACCGATTTTAAAAACAAAGTAATTACATTATTTAATTATAAATCAAGTAACAATAGTGAATTTTAATTTGATGTCTTGCAATTTAATAGGACAGAAAAAAGTGTTATTTATCATGGATCAAGTGTTTTACGTGAAAATTATGTGAAAGATTTACCATCAGAATGGATAATATTTGAAGAAATGAGTTCTTTCAATACCAAAAAATTTATAAAAAACTGTACAGTAGTGTCACCAATGTCGGTGGCACTTTTTTCAAGTGCTATGAAATTACCTCAAGATTCTGTTAAAACTGCAGGTAAATTAGAAATATATATATAATGATATTACTTCAAGAATGGTTTTAAAAACAAACTTCTCATCATTATAGATGATAGTGATGATAGTGACGAAGAAAATGAAGACAAATTGGGAACATTAAACTTGGATGGCTGGACTAGTTTTGTTGGAAGCTCAGATGATATTGCAAAAGTCTTAAATATGCGGTTATGTCTAACTCTAGCTTACCGTGAATTTCTTAAAAATAAAATGATCTCCCAACATAGTGTAATTATATTGATTTACTATTATGTATTTCTCATATTTGTGTATATTAAATTTTTTGTATAGTCCTTTAGTAATGTTGTTCAATCAGTTGTTAAAATATTATCTGCAGAAGATAGCGCTGTAGGATTGGAGGCTCCAGATGATGTTGGCAAACGTCCTAAAGAGAATAGTAATAAAGGTTAGCTTTTAAAAGTTTATCATAAATCATTGCAATCGTATAAATCTTATATCAGTATTATTATTTAATATTTTATTATGTTTGTTTTGTTTATAAGGTCGTCATAGCAAGAGTAATGATAATTCTTCATTTTCTTCTTTTCGCAAATATCCATATGGACAGCACTCTCAAAATAAAAGTAAAACTCTATTTATTTATTTTTGTATTTTCGTTTAATAAAATAACCCAAATCAACAGGTTATACAGACAGCAGCTCAAGTTTTAGAACAAGTAGAAATAGTTATAACATGCCTAGTAAGTAAACATTGTTATTCTAAAACAAAAAAAAACTTGGACAACTTTTACTAAACTTCTTTGCATTAAATCGGAACCACAGCCACTAACTTGCACCAGTTAGACTTTATGAGGAAAATTAGGTTTCAAAATGTGTTGGGGAGATCAGATCAAAATTGGTTGCGCCTGTGATTCCATACATCATTAAATTAAATACAATATTTATTTTTATTACATACAATTATTAGTGGTTAAAATAATTGTTTGATTATAGATATTCGAGGTACAAGTAATAGACAATTTCAACAGAATTATTCAACTCCAAGTACATCTCAGATGAACAATAACTACAAATGGTAGTATCGTAGACTTAATTTTTATTTGAAAACAGTATTATAATAAATATAACCTCACTGTAACCTGCATTAAAGCAGACTTTTTTTTATCAAAAATAATTTATTGTTATTTTATTTAAAGTAAAATACTTTTGTTATTTAGTTTCTTAATTACAACCAAATGTATAAATTTAAGTAATGAATTGTATCGTCTTAAATATTTATTAGGAAAAACTATGCTCCATAAAAACTAATAAGTTCATTCTTAGTTTTATGCTGCTTTTCGTAATTAAATATAATTAATTCATTCATTGTAAATCAAGTATTTTTAATTACATTTTTTAGATTTTCAGTATGATGCCTTTAAGAAATGTTGATTATGTTTAATAACATATTTTATTAATTTACTGAATGTTATTAAATCATTTGAATATATCTTTAAATTGCTACTAGTCCTAATTAAGGGGAAGTGATATTTTTTTAATTGAATTTAAAAAAACATGTTTCACAACAAAACATGTAGATCTTTTGTAGTATGTGTATTATCATTACTAGTTAATATGTGATATCGTTAATATTATTTTTTAATTGAACTTTTTCTATTTGTGTTAATATTTAATTACTCAAAAGCTTATAGTTAAAACTATATGAGATAAATATTTTCAAAGTACTTAAGGATTTAAATTTGTATTTCTTGTTATTAATATTGGTGTTTTATGGGTTTTTGGAAAATTTTGTATTTTGTGATATGTAAAATATTCATTTTTAATTATGTTAAAATTTTAAATGTAAAATGCATTATTCTATGATCATTATGATCCGTTTAACATTATGTTATTATTAATATGTACAGTATACAGTATTACCAAAGCAAAAGTTTGTATAGTGAATCAATAAAGTACTTTTAATGTGTTAAAAATATTTTACTGTTTTTGTTTCTTTTTAAAATAAAGTTATTTATTAATTGTAATAATCCACCTATTTTTAAACATTTTTGTATATTTAACAAGTTCTTATGTCATCTTTTGGATGGCTCTCTGTAGCTTTTAAACAAATAAAATATAAGAGTTTTTTATTTTTACAAGTAATATACAATCTGCTGTATCATTATTACAATAATAATAATATAGGCTAAAAGTACAATTGAAGTAACATTATTGTGATGACAGGGGCCTTCCAATTATGACACTTCCTATGGTTACTTAATTATTATATTTAACTATTTTTGTTTTTCTTATATATAAAACAAATCACGACACCACTTGCGCTTTAGGCTTCTTGGAGGATTACCAGGTATGGTAGCGCAGGTTAAATTTTTGATAAGTGGATACAAATGAGCATTTAGGCGGTTGTGGAATCTTTTATAGAAACATTTAGATTTATCACTTACTGTTTTCAGTTTTAGGTCTGAATGTAGAGAAAAAATAAATATAAGAGTAAAAGATATTTTTAATGTTCTTATAAATTTATTAATATTATATTTTGTTTATTTTTTAAACAGTTGATTTTGAATACTACATACCATACCATTTTAATACTAGTTATAAACTGTAGACATTCTTGATTTGCATTTTTATACTTTGAGCAAATTTAACAATAATAGATTCATACATTTTTAATAACAATATTAATTAATATATCATAATATAATTCAAAAATGCTTAAAATACCTACAAAAAACTACCACATAGATAAAGTGCTCTGAGTTCTAAGAACATTCTTCTATAACTAATAATTGTCAATTGTCGCTAAAGCCTCTTCGTCCCCTCCCCTGGATCCTTGTAAATGCTTATAAATATTGAGTCGTGAAGTTCATTCGTTCTCGTAGTACTACACTTTATGAAATATCTCAGGTATAAAAATTGCACACGTTAATATTCTATTGGTCTTAGTTTTAAACTGTCTAGAACCATTAATCCAAGTCTTCGGATTTCAAAGTTGGTTGATGCGTCCATCTAAAATATTTCTAATTAGCAAAATCACTAAAATATATATCGTGCTATAGTTCGTCTTATTTTTAAATACAGATCAATCATCTGGGATCCTTACACTGACTGATCTACTTACATGAAGTGTCCATCACAGATTTTTGAGATTTGCATGTTTTGTGTTAGGCATTCCCCATTTAGCTATTTCACGATTATACCAAATACTAATATCACGAACATATTTAACCTGCCAAATCTTGATAAATTAATAAGAATACGTTGGATTCCGCTTAATGTGGCCACCGGTTAATAAGGCATCCACTTATTGTGGGTAAACATGTCTGGTCCCAATACAAATGTTTTGTTTTAACTAATTTCGATTTTAATGGGCAACCGCTTATTGTGTGCAAACAGGGCTGGTCCCAACGTGCCCACATTAAGCGGAATCCACTGTATTAAATTTAAAATGTATTTATGGTCTAATAACTAACGAAACTGATTATCCATCTTTGCTATCCCAAATAAGTTTTAAAATCCCTTCACATACTTCTCGTTTTTAAAAAACCTTCCATATTCTTAACGCCAATACAAATTATTTACTAAATGAGCCTCTATGAGACGTATTATGTCACTCGCCAGTGATTACCAGAATCTTACATTATGTGTAGGTTAATTGAGTGTTGTTTATTGTCAGTACTTGGATTAGTAAACATTTATATATTTATTTTAATTGTTTACAAAGGTACTTATTGGTTATTACAATACTATAACAATATTATTATGTACTTTGTATATTAATTTATATTATGATAATTTTAACTATTAACAAAATTAAAAAGTTTATTTGTATTTTATATTAAATTTTACATTGATACTTAATGCATTTATAATGGTGACTGAGGTGAATGAGGAATTGTACTCATTGCTTGTTTTTTAATTCTAATGAACTTCTGCTTTATGTTCTCAATCGATTTTCGTGAAATGGATACACTTTTAACTTCATCTTTTTTAATTTGAGATTTTCGGCCATTTTTATGTTCAGTTTCAATCATTACTGCAATATCAGTAGTAAATACCGGTTGATTTTCAAGAGTAGCACATGAATTATCCTAAAAAAAAGTGTAGTGTATAATGCACTGGGTCCACTCATTTTATTACTATATTACAATATTGTATTATATTTAACTAGTATTATTACATATTAGTATATTTACCTGCAAGCTTTCATTGTCATAACATTGTAATATTGTAACTTCTGTCTCATCCAATTCATTATTTTCTTCCACGATTTCCTGTAGGTTTTTTTAAGAAGATCAAATACAATTATGCATAGTAATTTAAAAATTTGATAGATGCAATTAATTAAGTTATGATTAAGTTTTGTATTTTTAAGCTAGAAATCAATGGTTTTTATGAAACTTACTAATAATGTGCTCAATAAAAATTGATTTAGTTACTGTGTTAGTCCTAACCTAGGATATTTATAATTCTAACCCAACTGGCCACTTCCTACCAAAACTTTAAAACTTGCATGGTTATTACTTAAAATATAATTTGTTTAAGTAATCCATTAAACAATTTATTATTCATTATAAATAGATTTTGGAACATGGAAACAAAAGCTCTATTTATACTATTTTTACTTTAAGTTCAGATAAACCATTATAAATTATAAAAAAAGTTATCAACGTAAGCAAACAAGTTGAGACACTGTTTTTTGCTTACATGCAGTGCACACAAGTATAGTTTAAATATTTTATTTTAAATTTTAATCCCATATTACAGAAAAAATGTAAGTGTTCAATTTTGATACATGAAAAAAGGAACACTCTCCCTAATTTAAGCACTATTTGTGATGAGTATGAATCCAAAAATGTCAATAAGTAGTAAGTATTTTTCATTACCATTAACATATTATTAATTATTTTAGTATAAAATATAATCTAATTTAAATATAGATATATTATAATATGTATTATATTTCTATACAGAGCACTGTACTCTGTTCAAAATAAGAAACACCAGCGGCGGCCAGCTACTGTGCTGGGACTATTCTGCACGACACGTGGACAAATAGTTGACACAGTGGGGGTGACAAACGTTTGTTGACAAAAAACAGGTCGCCGTCGCAGAAGTTTCTTATTTTGAACAGAGTATGTATTAACATAGTTGATTATAATAATTACATCTTGTATATTTGGATTTGATAATGTTTCATTGTATACACCTCTAATTGCATCAACATTTATTGTTTGATACTTATATGGTTGACTACTAGAATGTAGTAAAATTGATCGTCTTGATTTATTACTTTCTTTTGAAGTCATTAATTTTGGTTTATCACTCAAATCTGTTTTTAAAATTATTGGAGGAATAACTTTGTACACTGATTGTATTCTTGGATCAAGATTTTCAAGACTTTTACCTAAAAAGTAAAATGTTTTCATTCAATAGTTTATTTATGACATATGTGGTACTCTATACAATTATTATAGGTATAAAAGATTATAAAATATGTTTAATATGTTACTGCTAATAAAGAATAACCAACAATTAAATTTAACAATTATAAACTCAATAAAAAAATAGAAATACTCAATAATGGTAAAAATATAAAAAAGTGGGTACTGCTTTGCTGTACATTACGTGTCGTGTGGTTCACTATCATGAATGTGTTAAATTTGAATTCAATGACATAAAATTGTTGTATACGAAAAACTATTATAAAAAAAAGACGGTTTGTCAACCTATAATCTATATTAGTACATTATGTACATTTTATGATATAGCTCAGGGATGGGCAACTTAAGTGCTACGAGAGGGCTAATTTTTTGAGTTAAAAATCTAGCGGGCTAGAGAACATAGAAAAAAAAAAGCTATGTTAACTATGCCCCTTAAGGGGATTCGATACCGTGATTGTCTGTTTTTGTCTAACACACGCGCGACATAGTATTTTAGACGTGTTTTTTGCCAAACATTCCAATTGATCTAATGAAGCGATAAGAATTCTGAAAACAGATTTGAATATGTCGTCAAGTCTACTTGAAATCGACTTTCCCACATTTTTGATATAATCCCCCAAATTATTTAAAATGTCATATTACAAGAGTATTTAAAAATTCTGTTATTTCAACTTTTGGAGAAGTTAAAATCAAAAAATCAAAAATGTGGGAAAGTTGATTTCAAGTAGACTTGACAAAAATTCAAATCTGTTTTCAGAAATCTTATCGCTTCAATAGATTAATTGGAATGTTTGGCAAAAAACACGTCTAAAATACTATGTCAAGCGTGTGTTAGACAAAAACAGAAAATCACGGTATCAAATCCCCTTAAAAGTAATATAATATGATATTAAGACATTTAATAGTTCAATATTAGATAAGAATTCATATTTACGTTTTACGATAAGCATATCGATTTTAATAATTTTATAAATATAATAAAATAAAATTCAGAAAAATCCTAACATTATATATTTTTATAAAGTTATTTGATATGTAGCAAGGGCCAGTTATAAATGGTTCTAGGGCCGGATACGGCCAGCGGGTCGCCAATTGCCTATCCCCGTTATATGCTATAGGTATTAAAATATTTTTTTTTTACTATTAGCAAAACAAAAGGTATTTTTCAGAAAACATTTAATTTGATATACTTAATAATTAAATAAAGCAAACAATTTGCAGAAATTCAAAATTAATAAAATTTCTCAAAATCACAAATAATTATTCTTTTTTTCTATAATTATCGATAAAAATAAATTTTGCCGGGTCACAAACTTTGAAAATTGAGTGTAAGGTTCCTCAAAAGTAGTTATAATAGCAGTTCAAAAATACTAAAGAATAAAGACGTTTAGGCATGACGTTAAATTTTTATAGCTAAGAATTGAAAATTTAAACGAGGTAATTCATATTATAACCAAAAAATCTAAAAAAATATATACAGTTTTTATTAAATACTTCAAGTTCAAATTTAGATGAAATTAGATATTTTAGTAAAGAATAACAATTTTAGTTGTTTTGTTGTAATTTAAAAATATTATTCATAGGTACTTAATATTTTTTTTGTATATAATTATATTTTATACCCATAATTTATTATACTTTACATTTACTATACATTTTCAAATGAAATTTATTAGATAACCTACTGTATTATTTATGTGGTAATGTCTAATAATAAAATTATTACTCTAGTAAAAATAATATCATAAAATATTCTTAGTAATATTATAAGGCTGGCAGACTTTGCTTAGAATTGTTTTTCATACACAATGATTTTATATCATTGAATTCAAATTTAACATTTGCGTTAGAGTGACCTCTCTAGACACCTACTTTGCGATAGAACAGTACTCACTTTGATTTTATAATTGAAAATAATAATAAAAATAAATTAACTTACTAGAAAATACTTCTTTATATAATACTTGGTTTTCAATTTTTAAATTATCAACTATATTATTTAAGACTTCTATATGTTTCTCATAAGATAGAATCTGTTCTGTCATATCAATAACTGATTGTTGTGATTCTTTAACCATAGTATTCATTTTACTTTCATCATCTAGCTGTTCACACCAATTTATATAACTATTTAAAGTATTTTTTATGGTTGTAAGGAATTTAACAAGATCTACTTTTCCATAATTATCCATTAATTCTTCTTGATTTATCTACATATACATATTAATAAATAGAATGATACAAAAGCATAACATAACATTAATTTAGAACTTACATCAAAAGTTAAATTAACTATATTGGCATCCAAAGTTTCTTGAGTTTGTAATATAATATCAGTTAATCTTGCACACTTCAGAGCAATTAATTTATTTTGTTGAAAGTTAGCATACAAATTAATACATTTTTGTTTTAATTCCGAGACTTCATTTGCTTCAAGTATGTAAAAAACACAATAAACAATAATAGATTCTAATATGTAAATATACAGGGTATTGCACGATTAATGTGTCAAACTTCTAGTGGTGTTTCTACACCTCAAATGGAACAAAAAAAGTCCTTGTGACCATAATCAAATTATTAATAATAAGGGTGATATTTCCCATGTTTGTGCTTTTTTTGTTAAACGCAAGTTTGATTCATAATAATGTTCATATCTGCTAAACCGTAGGTACTACAAATAATTTGAATACATTGATGAAAAGCCCATAAAATTTGGATTAGGAAAACATATTTTACAAGGTTCCCACCCGATTTTTTGGATAAAAAGAATAACACACATTTTTTATAACTTTAAAATGTCGAAATTTTAAAAAATTTCAGTTTTATCCTACAATTTTTTTTTAAAGCAGGTGGGTGCAAATTTCAGAAAACTTCAAAATGTTATAAGCTTTTCAAATTTTCAATAGTGTACTCAATTTTTTCGTTAAACCTTTCTGAAGGGCCGCTATTCCACCTAATGTGTGGGAAAACTGGGAATAAGGTAAATAAATTACAAGTAATAAATACAAAACCGGGTAAACTGATTTATTTTAAAATTTGACATTTTAAAGTTATAAAAAGTGTGTGTTATTAGGTATTTTTAAAAATCAGGTGGGAACCTTGTAAGATTTATTTTCCTCATCCAAATTTTATGAGCTTTTCATCAATGTATTAAAATTATTTGTAGTACCTACGGTTTAGCAGATATGAACATTATTATGAATCAAACTTGCAATTAACAAAAAAAACACAAACATGAACATAATATCACCCTTATTATTTATCAATATTCGATTATGGTCACAAGGACTTTTTTTGTTCCATTTGAGATGTAGAACACCTCTAGAAGTTTGACACATTTATTGTGCAACACCCTGTATACTATTAAACCCATGTCCGCCTTGTTAAGGCCGCGATGGATGACCCTAGCCTTTTTTTAAACCCAAATACATTAAATCTCTATAAATAATTAGGCAATATAAAATATTATGAGCACAAAAGAACAAATGAGTTAAATATCTAAATTATTACTTATTAGTAACTGACAGGCGACAGTCAAAGAATACATCTGTTTTTCGTATCATATGATAGTAATATACGATAAAAATAGCTATCAAATTCTGTTTAAAAAAAACCGTAATAATGAGGAAATTGAATATTTGTATAAGAATGCAAGGATTTTACTAAAAAAAATTAATTATTTGATTTGAAAATAAACGCATTTCAAAGGTAAAGTTTAAAAAATCTTATTTTTGTAATTTTAAATGAAATAAAGATATGAATTAATTTAAATAAATTAAGAGTACAATTATGTTCTTACTTTACAAAGTTAGATAGCCAATAAACATAATAATATAAAACTTAAATTATAATTTGAAATTGCATGCATATCATTTTAATTTTAATAAATAAATGACCCTAAAACAAAATCCTGCCTGGGCCCTGTAGTGGCCAAGCCGACACTGTACTAAGTCATAAATAATTAATATCAAATAACAAATTTCTCATGCATATTAAAAGTTATTTTCATACCAGTTGCTTCACAATGCTCAATATTAAGTAATGCAGATTTAAAATCTTTAATACGTTGCTTACTATCTTGAATGATTTCTTTATATTTTCTAAAATTATTACTTATGTTAGAAAACAAAACAATTATTATTATAATTAATTACTTACACAGTTATTTCTGTATTATTTTTAAGAATACAACCAACTCGAGAAATTATTTCATTTACTTCATTAAAATTACTATTTGATATTGCATTAAACATTGATATTTTTTTTTCAATAAACTTGTCCTCAATATAAAGTGGCGCATTTAAAAAAACAATTCCTAAACATAAATTAAAAATATAAGATATTATATACTATATACTTGACACTTAGTTAATGTTAATGGATCATGTAATTGAATAAAAAATTGAATATCATATTTTGAGAATATAAACTTCACTTAAGGCGATTCGATACCGTGATTTTCTGTTTTGTCTAACACACTTGCAACATAGGATTTTAGACTGGTTCTGTGCCAAACATACCAATTGATCTAATGAAGTGATAAGAATTCTAAAAACCGATTTGAATTTGCTGTCAAGTCTGCATGAAATCGACAGTCCCACATTTTTGAATTTTTGATTTTAACTTCTCCAAAAATTAAAATATGACAATTTTTAAAAATTCTTTTTTTAATGACATTTTTAGGAATTTGGGGGATAATATCAAACATGCGGGAAAGATGATCTATTTTCAGATTTGTTATCGCTTCAATAGATCAATTGGAATGTTTGGCAAAAAACAAGTCTAATATTCTATGTCAGAATCAAATTTTGCAACAGTAGTTTTTGAATTATTAAACTTTGTGTTTAAGGATAATGGGTTTATTAGATATGGAGGTTATAGTGATTTAAAAATGTTAGTCGTTAATATTAATTTACTTAGATTTATAATATTTGTAAAAATGTCCCAAGTATACTAAACACTAATTACAATATTACATCTATTATTTTTTTTAGTAAAACCATTTTTAAGGACAATTATTCTTAGTACAAATATTTTAAGAACTAAGAAACTACTTATTCATATTTTGAATTAGCAAATTAACATTTTCAAAAATATTATTCACTAAATAATTTAGGTACACTAAAAGAGGGGAAGGGGGTTCTCCTTTGAAAAACAAAAGATCTTATTTTCACAGGTCACTCTACACGAAGTACAAAAGAAATCAAGAATTTGAAAATTTGTTTTTTAATATACCTATTTCAAAATTAAAAAAATCAGAATTTGAATAAATTCTTGGTGAATCACAGCATCACGCTGTACACTTATGACTTTCCTGGTTGATAAGTTCTCAAGAATTATTTATAAAATTCTTTTATTTACAAATTTATATTTGGAAACATGTTGATTGAAGGTATTAATAGTCCCAGGAGAATCGAAAATTTAAATTTAAATTTGATGTATCTCAAAATAATAGCAAGGTAAACATCACATTTATCCACAATACCAATGATGGGTTAAAAAAACAAATTTAACATGGACATTTAACATGGACATTTAACTAACAGTAATTCAGTTATAAAATGAAAAAATTAATTTTTTTTTCATAAAATATTTAATTATGATAGGATAATTAAAATACTATACCTTTTTTCTTAAATTCACAACACTTTATGTATAAACAAAATTGATACATAAAAAAAATAAAAACGGGGCCACCAGGATTTGCTAATAATGATGAATTAACTTTTGAAACAACATTCGTAGATTTTTCATAAACAAACCCATCCAAACCCTAAAAGCATAATTTACATTAATACATAGGCAAAATTTTGGAGGGACTTGGAGGGGCTCTACCTCTCCAAAAAATTTTATTTTAATTGAAGTATTTATCGAAATTATTTTATACAGTTTAAAGACCGATATGATTCTTTATTAAAGTGTTTTTTTTAGTAGACAATCGAATCCACCCACAGAACACAATATAGGTCTAATAATTATATAAAAAATTACTAAATAGTAATTAAATTACAATATATTACTGATAACATTTCAATTTGTCTAGAATATAGTAGATACTCGATAGTAGTGTTTTTTATACAAATTTCCAATTTTGAATAGATGGTTACAATTATAATATAGGTCATATATATAACCTAAATGTTGTAATTTGTTTTAATAAAAATATTTTTCATGATATACAGATGTACATTTATAATATATAGGTACATTAGGTAATGTAGGAAAGTGGGTGAGAAAAAAATATATATTATTCTATATAATATTAAAACAAAGTAATGTACAGGGGACTGAGTGGCCGAGAGGACTAAGGTGTCAGTTTCGACGCTGGCTCGATACCTCTGCGGCTCTGCCTTTTGCGGCATTTTTCTTCGGGCAAGTCACGGAATCCGGAGAACAAGTGCCACCAACCCCCCACCCAGGAATGGCAGATACCTACGGGTGCCCAAATCAAAAATTTTGCCAAAACAAACACACACGTGTCCCCCTCTACCAACAAAAAAACTATAGGTAGTAAAGTACCAATTTTAAAGGTATTTTAATATGGAGTGTGGGGGGCAGAGCTACCCACTGGTCTGTTTCATTTAAATATACCTATGTAAATCCCCTCCAAGTAAAAAACTGAAATTGTGCCTATGCATTAGTACCAATGTGGACAATTATTTTTCCAACCTCATAAATTAATAATATATTAAATCATCAAAGCTATATAAAATTATCATAATATACTTACATTAATTAGGAGTGTTGCTGTATTACGGAATTCAGCAGCTTCCTTAAAATTAGTTATTGGCCAAGGTACAGTTTTTAAGCAATTTGGGTCTGTTAATGGAAGCAGATAATATAATACCTGTTCCATGGCTTCTTTGTTTGGTTTATTAAATATTTTCTAAAATATAATTTACATTGATAAATAAATAATTGTATTTTTAAATAAATACAAAACTTACATTTGTTAGATGTTTATTCAATGTTGGAAGAACAGTCTTTCTGCTTAGCATAGATATACCTTGAATATGATGACTAATTTTTGCTTCCATTATGCCAAGTTAAATTTAAACTCGATATTTATAAAATATGGTTGTTTAATAAGTGTTGGAATGTTGAAATAAATGCATATACTACAAAAAAAGTTATTCTGCGGAGATATTTTGTTAAAGAGCTATAACAAAATAAAACAACAGATTATTTCAGTATTTACAAATCCATCAAAATGGTAATTAATTCTATGCATAATAAAACATAAATTTCAAAAAAAAAAATGTAAGATATATAATTTTAATAGTTAATCAATTATTACGTTTTATTGCTCCAGCGATGTATCGTACTTCATAGAGTATTATAGTGTAATAAGTGATTGACTTTGACACGGTGATCCTGTGCCAATCTGTGGTTATTTTTTAAACGTTTTTTAACTTTGAAGATAAATAAGATAATAAAAGTTGCATTGTTTATTTTACAACAAGTCCCGCCAAAATGTATTGATTATTATCACGGTTTGAGATAGAATATTATCAATGTTTATATTTTTGCCGTGGTTTTTGTGATTATTATTTACCTTGCGATTGGTGTATTTTGATTCGTGGGTGTTACTATTAATTTTATTTATTTCCTTTTTTTTTCATTTTGTTATCGTACGATTTAATTTTTTGTTTCTATTTCGCCGAAAACATACAACAATACTGAAATACACTTATACACGACAATATTATAAACAAAGTGCACAACAGCAAAACACTGTCTGGAACAGACATCTTATAAGTCCTCTTAGGCTCTTATGATCCCAACTCCTACCTCCGAACTGTTTGAAGTCGCACAAACCACTCGCCGGCTCACACAAATTACAATGTGTTGAGTTTTTAGAATCTAAAGATACCTATTTTAAATAATTTATTTTTATTCAAGAGAGAGAGAGATTATATTCGTCAGTGACAATTTATGTATGTATAATAGTTTGTTATTTAAGTAAACAAAATAATATCAAATTTTTTTGAGTTCCACATTCTTAAATTATAAAATTATTATTTTGATAAAAAATTAAATTTTGTTTTTTATTGTATAGGTGTATAAATATACATACTTGTAGTACCTACAACCAGTGGCGCTGACTTCATATTATATCACGTGAAGTAGTTGCTTAACTTCTTAAAAGGAGGATTTTTAAAGTGTAGTTGGTTGGATGAAAGTTTTGGATTTTATTTCTCAACATTTTTTATAGTTTGGTCAAAGTAAATATGTTGGTATATGTATTTGTATTTTTTTAGTCGTATATATGTATTTATAATGATTGGTATTAAATCATTATGTTACAGAAGCAGTATTTTTAAAGAAAATTTCAAAAAATTGTGTACATATTAGTTACTTCTTGTATTAGGTAATGACATCTAGCTTAGCTCTTACTCTCATACAATGAATGATGGTGAAATCAGAAATATCCAGAGTTATTATTTAATAATAGTTATTAGAAAATTTTATTTAATTTAAGTATACATTTGACCAGAAATACAGAGTTTGAAAACTTGTATAACATTATTATTTTTATAGACCCATAAATGTCAAGTGTTGTAACCAATATTATAGGGAGCTTGTTATGTTAAAACAATAATGCAATGCTAACTGATAAATGAGCTAATTTCAAATTTTCACTGTCTTAAATCCAAGTATGACAACTTTTATGTACGAGTTTTTATAACGAGTTATTAGTCATGAATTATTGAAATAAATGTTTCAAAAAATAATGTATTATATGTTATTCATGGAAATTTAACATTTAATTTTGTTGTTCAATTAGAAATTATCTATCAGGAGTAATTTTAAATTTAATTTAATGGCGTTAACATTTGGTGATAATATACATACTAAAACATTCACTCCTCAAGAATACCTAGTTGAAGTTTTGAGTTCAGCTAAAAACAAAAATGTAATTATTTCATTAGAAGGTATAACAAATAAGGTATTTGTTATTTTGAAACTCATTCGAGAACTTGCTTTTAAAATTCACAGGTTAGTCAACAAAATTAAAAATGAATATTAACAACAATCAAATGATACATTTATTACATTTTTATAGGAAATCTGAAAAAAGAAAATGGACTTTACTTGTCTTAGAAGAAACTGAAATTGATCAATACATGTTTTCTATCAAGCATTTGACCGATTTAAAACCGTCAGTTATCAGATCAGTCAATCATTTAGATTTTAATAATTATGAGGTTTGTATTGTACTACTCTTCTTTTCAAAAAAAAAGTTTTAAATATTTAACTATTTTTGTTTTCCTTCCAGGTAATTGTTACTACTGAAAACCTATGTTTAGAAATATTTGAAAAAAAATATTTACACTTTGACCAGCTTAACTTAGCTATATTCAATAACTGCCAGAAAATAATCGTGAAAAATAGTACTTATTTTAAGGTATATTTTTTTTTGTTTTTTAATTAGATTAATTATTTTGAATACATTGAAAACTCTATACAACAGACATCAGTAAGGAAAAAAATAAAAAATATCTGTTATTAACAGGCTTTTATTACTAAGAGATGTAGGTGCTTAAATATACCGTGTGATTAATTTAACCTAAGGTACTCATTATTCGAAAAGTATCAATGTTTTTGAAAACATGATTTCAATAAGTTTTATTTTTTTTTTAAATGTTATCATTTTTCAAGTTTTTTTGATTTTTGAATTAAAACGTGCAGTTTTAATTTCATCTTAAAATACAGAATATTTTTCTAAGTATTTTGATTCATAAAAATCGAATTAAGGATGAGTAGTTTTTGAGTATTTAAAGTTTAAATGAGCGGAGTATAGTGGACCAATGTTTAGCGGTGTAACCCCATACAACTACGGAGTGCTCATATGAACTCATAATCTACTCGTCATAAATTTATATCAGGAATGTTAAAATATGTTCTTAATATACTTAAAAATTCTAAAAAACAGAATTTGAATATATGTTTTTTTAATGAAAAAAGGTGGTGAGCATTTTTTTCACCATAATATCAAGTAAATTTTATGTTCCATTATGAGACCCCTTAAAAAAATTGATCCTAACCTTTGGTATGCCAGACCGACATTGACTACAATTTTATTTAACCATGCCATTTAGTATTTTGTTAAAACTTAAAAATATAATGCAATTATTTACGGATATTAATTAATATAAGTTTTTATTTAAGTTTCAACGTAAATTTAAAAAATACTCATTGAAGTTTCCATATTATTTAGATAGTAAAAAATTCTCAGGTGTGGGATAACCTAATAAACGCCTGTTGCTCTGTAGGCAAGCCTAGGCTAAAATATGTCTTTAAATAGAGGGTTTACTTTATAATAAAATAATATAGAAATAATGTTTTAATTTTATTTATTTTTAGATTTGTGATTTTATCAAGCCAAATAGCCAATGTAGAATTTTAGGTATTGTTCATCCATTATTTGAATTGGATTCTGATCCATTCTTCATTGAAAATCAATTGAAATTTATATCACACAAGTTGTTTTCATCTATCGAGACTGCCAGTGATATTGTTTCTATATTACGTCATTGTTGTAAACCTAAAGAAGTTCTCATTGAATGTGCTGTTCAAACAGAAGATATCACCAATATTAAGATAAAATCGATGGTTCAGAGTTTAACTCAATTTTTAACTGATCATAACTATGAGCCTGCTATTATATATGGAGATGATGAAGAATTTGGTGAAGAATTAAAACAAATACCTAACCCTAAACATGAACCCTTACAAATGGTAGCTGATTTTTTGGAGGTTTTAAAAACAATGGGTCCATATTGTGCAGATAAAGCTGCCTTGACACTCCTGTATATGGTAGAAAAATTAAAAGTTAAAACTCCGTATGAAAGACACTATGTTTTGTTTTGCATTGTTTCTACAATGTTGATTCAAATTAGAGCAACGTTCGATAATATTTTTAATAATTATAGTAGTATTGATAAAGTACTTAAATTTAGTTCTCCTCGTGTATTACGAATTATTAATACTCTCAAACAATTTAAACCAAAATCTTTTAAAGCAGATAATAACATTGTTGAAGTATGCAAAGAACAAAAAGAAAAAAAAGATAAAGCCATCAAATCTAAATCAGTAAGACGTAATTGGAAATTAGCTAGGAGATATGGAACTCATAGAAAACAAGGACGATCAAGAGAACCGTATGAAGAAACTGTTTGTGCAATAATTCTTGTAAACAATAAAATGACAGCTTCTATTTTGTATTATTTATTTTTAGTGAGCATTTACATTTTATCAATAAAATTTATTTTAAATGAAGTATTTATCTAATTATTTTTATCTTCTTTAGGATTTGAAAAACAGTAATAAAGAAGATTTTGGTTGGATCCAACCTCAATACACAGTAGATAAAGAAGCAGACCCAATTAGTGAACCTAAAGAATTTGAAATTGAACATAAAAAGCAAGAAGAAACTTTAAGAAGGTATAAATATTAAATACAATTTTTTTTTTCAATAAACTATCTGTAATTGATGACTCAATATAAAAATGAATTATTTCAGATTTCGGCAAAGAGAATGTAATGTACTCATTGGAACTAAAGTATTAGAAGCAGGAATTGATTTACCCCGGTGTAATTTAGTAATTAATTATAATATACCACTTTCATACAAATCGTATCTTAGGTCTAAAAGTAGAGCAAAAACATTAGATGCTCATTATATTTTAATGTTTGATGAAGATGCTACTTCAAATATTTTATCTCGTCTTAAACTATATAAGGACATTAACCAGGTAAGAATTGGTTTTAAATAATATTTTTACATAAATAATCTATATTATAATATAACCAAATCATAATTTAAAAATGTTGAATTATTTTTTTCTAGATGTTATTAAGTCATTGTACTTTAAAAGATATTGACATGGAAAAAGAAATCTATGCTGATAGGTATAATTGGTTTGTTACACCATTCAAACCAGGAGAAAATGAAGATTCAGCATTTGTGGATATGGCAACAGCCATAGGTCTTGTGAATAGGTAATAATTCATATTAGTTATTTTACATTTT